CTCCTGTTACAGAGTGTCAAAGAGGGTCTTCGAACCCAACTTTGTCTGAGTTCAAAGGCAGAGCTCCTACTCAGTCACTAACCTTACATCACACCAACTGGACTGCTGTGCCTCTTCTTCCATCCCCCTCCCCAACTCTCACTTGCCCCCACTCTTACTAGTGGCCTCTTTGCAGACAAAGAGTTTGCTGCCTTCTGTCCAGTGCAAGGAAAGTGCCCATCGCTCTTCCTGTCTCGGGAGGTAATGAACACGAGCCTGTCTGTGTCCTGATTTATCATAGTGGAGAACCCTGACTGTCGAATGGACCTGCAGTTAGACACAGCAAGATTTGCCTAGGCAAGCATTGCCCGGGCAGAGCATCAGGGCTAATGAATAAAACAAAACCTCAAATTGACTCCCGCACGGGTGTCCCACGGTAACAATGGAGCCAGAAAAACTCCCGGAAGAGAGAAAAGGACTTGTGGCTATTGTCCCGGCCTGAGTCACAGAGGGCAACAAAAGTGAAGGTGTGTCTGGCTAGCATTCTTCAGAATTGAATTTCATGTGGTTGTTAGATTTTTTTTTTTAGGGTAATCAGTGATTCAGTGCAGGGGGCATGGTCTCAGTGATTGGAGGCCAGAGAGTCTACCCAGCACTGTTTACCGCTTCAGGCCACAGGTTCTCCTGTCTGGAAAGGGAGGGAAATCACTTCACGTTTGCCGTGCAAAGGCATTGTACTGGCAGTGGAAGTTTCTTATAGGGGAAATCTTTCTAAAACCACAAGCGTTCTTTTCTGATGCTCGGCAGCCCACCTGGGTGTACGGTGGGCTGGACTTCTGACACTTTCTCTGAGCATCACTGTTTCGACCACAGGGCTGGGGGCCAGATGGGCTCAGGCCAAGGCCTCCTTCATACCTAGAAATCTGCCTGATTCATTCCCATCTCCCCCAACCTGCCAACTCACCTCTTAGCAGAGAACCAAGCCCTGGGGGCTCTTTAAGCCTCAATCTACCCAGGTGCAAAAGGGGGTTAATAATACATCTCTATCATGGGGTCGATGAGAAGCTCAAATAAAACATCGTAATATTTGCTCGGTCCCAGGCTCTGTCCTGAGAGTTCGACCCATATGGACCCATCAGATCCCCGCAACAGCCTGTGAGAGGAGGAGGATTTTCAGCTCATTTCACCCATTCCGAGATGCGCACTTTCTTTCCACATTTTCACATCTCTAAACCTGGGGCATGTTTTTAGCATATATAAATTTAGTGGCACAAAGTCATTGTGAGGTACCCTGAAATGGAAGATGGTACTGGGTTAGATAAATGATGGCGTGCCAATTTCACACATGAGGAAACTGAGGCATCGAGAGGAACTGATTTCTTCAGGGCCGCGCAGTCCAGTTAGAAGGCAGAGCTGGGGTTGGAACCCACACGGAGCGCTGAGGGGGCGGGGCTTTCAAACACTGCGCCGGGATCTGGGCAGAGCGTGCAGCAGGGTTCCTGGCTGTCTTAGGGTCTGCCCCACATCAGAGGGGCTGCTTTTCCGTCTGGATTTTTAGTGACAGTGAGGCAGAAACCTCGGGCACCAAGAGACGCAAGAGACAGAGCTCGTATAAAGGATTCTGCACTTTTGTACAGTTTTTGCAAAACCTCATTTCTGCATTTCCATTCTAGAATACGGATCGGATACTCTTTCTCTCTCTCTTTCTTTTTTTTACTTTTCCAAGGGAGAAAATGTGGGTTCATGGTATCTACAAGTGCCTGGTGCCCCGCCTCCTCGCGCCGATGGGTCAGACTTCTTTTTTGCTTCCTTGGGAAATGGGGGGAGAGAGGACCGTGTAACAGGCTAGGGAGCCGGAGCCGCACAGAAGGTTTCATCAGGGGAAGACATTCAAGCAGAGTATTTGCATAAATTATTCATATTCCTGCCATTAAAAAAAAAAACTACATAAAGACATTATCCCAGGCAGGGTGCTGCTGTAACATTAGTTAGGATATCGCAACTTCCATCTCTGGAAAAAGGAAGTAACTAGCTTCGGAGGGCTTCCGGTCCCATTTGGGCACTTTTCCCAAGTGTCACTTGCCGTGCTAACGCCTGGTGGACTTACAGTGAGTGACATTATCATGCAGCCCACTGTGGCCTCAGTCTCCTCCCCTGAGAGGCCAGATCTTTCCCCAGAACAGTTCTCATTGGACAGCTCCTTGGCTGCCTGGCACTTGTTATTCTCTTTTTATATCCCCCCCCCCCACCAAGCAAACAAACATAAAAGCCATTTGAAACCAGTGATTGTGCCTCACCCCTTCTTTTTGTATTCCTGGTGGTGTGTGGTATCTATCACCGGCATGATTAGCATGAAGAGGAGGCAGGGAGGGCTCCAATTCTGGAGCCAGACAGAGTGGGGTTCAAATCCCTGCCCTGTTGCTTGCTGGCAGGGTGTCCTTGGGTAAGGGACCTGTCCTCCCTGAACCTCGATGTTGCTGTTTCTCTTGTGAGGAGGTGACAGTTCACACCGTGAAGTACTGTCCTGCAGTATCACAGGTGAGGACTTTTGCTCAGAACCTGGTCTGTGGCGAATACTCAATACCCGCCAACAGCATCACTGTCCCTATCAGCACTGTGTCTGTGGTTGGTTTGATTCGCACCAGAAGTCAGTCCTAATCTCCATGTTCTTTCTCGTGGCCTGTCAGTTTCTAGGTAGCCTGGTTTCGGTTCATCGGTGCTTTACAACAGCTCAAAGAGTTGAAATTTCTAAAGGCACAGTCCTTCAGATGGGCACCAGGGCCCCCTGGAGGACCTTTGTTATTTCCCTAGAAAGTGGTGCAGGGCAGCGGGGTTTCAATGCGCCTTCAGCGTCTGAGGTCTTAGTTTGTCCAACAGCTCCCTAGGTCCTTCTCCCCTCTAGTGACCTCCCTGAGTCCCACCTACCCTCGTCCCAAGAAACAGATATCATTCCAACCTCCGAATCTTCCTCTACTTTCTTCTTCTCAAGATGGAAAGCTCTATGGCGTTTACTTGAATACATGGCCTCTTCCGTCCTCAGATTCTCTCTCTCATGTACACACACACACACACACACACACACGCACGCACGCACACGAGACTGAGTTAGCTGTCCTTCTCTGAGTTCCCACAACACCCAATGATACGTCCCCAGCACACCATTAATCAACCTGCATTTAATTATTTGCTCATTACCTCTTTTACTCCCCATCCCAAACCTACTCATGATAGATTATGAAATCCTGAAAGGCAAGAACACACTTGGTGGGAGAACACTGAGTGAGGGTTCAATCAACGTTTACTGAATGAGTGAAAACACAACATAAGTAACGTCTAGTGGGGGTGTCCAAGCAGTGGCCCTCGGGCTGCATGCAGCTCAGGATCACTGTGAGTCTGGCCCGACTCAAAACCGTAAATTTACTTAAAACATTATGAGATTTTTTGGTGGTTACATATCTCAGTGTATTTAATGTTGGCCCAGAGATGCTAACAGGATGGACACCCTTGCGTGCTTATGACATGTCAGGAGCTGTTCCAGGGGCTTTGGGCGTGTCACTGTGTGCTCACGGCAACCCCACAGGGAGGCGCTCGGCTCTCCCCGTTTTAGAGATGGCAGTTGTGAAGCAGAGGAGTGCCACCGCTCGCCCAAGGCCTCCGGGCCACTGAGAAGCACATGCAGGGCTCAGACCTGGGTTGTCTGAGCCCAGTGCCCCTGCTCTCACACTCACCTCTGCTTCTGAGGTGGCCACCTTGCTCCTTGTCCTTTCCCTCGTCCCCCTCCCGCCACCGCTGTGCAGAGAAAGTTCAGGCCCAGAGGGGGCTACTCAGGATGAAACTCGCTTCTGTGTGGCATTTGGAGATGAAAGGAGACACACAAAGACGGCATCTTGCCGAGTGAGCTCACCATGAGCAGCGCATGGAAGTGTGTTAACCCTTAGAGACTAGAAGCTCGGGAACACTCTGGACTCCATGTGGGCGTGGCTGAATTTTAGGCTCTCTTTTGTGCCCTGACTTCTGCCCAGGTGCCCCTTCCCGAACCTCTGTGGGCCAGTGTGGCCTTTGGGCCTCTTCCCTTCTGTTCACCCACCTTGGCTGGTCAGTGGTGACGTCAGGGTTTGTGGTTGCAACGCCAGACACACTTAACACAGACAAAACTGGCCTACCCAGTTACGATCGTTTAAAAACAGCAGCACTTGGCCCTGGCCGGTGTTGCTCTGTTGGAGCATCACCCCGAACACCAAAACGCCCGGGGTTCACTTCCCAGTCGGGGCGCATACATAGTTTGTGGGTTCAATCCCTGGTTGGGGCACAAATGGGGGCAACCAATCAATGTTTCTCTCTCTCCCCTCCTCCCTCCCCCATTCTTCCCTCTCTTCCTCTTTCTCTAGAATCAATAAATATTTTTTCAAGTGCTAAAAATAGAAACACTTGACTCCAGTCATGAAATCCACAGCAGTATTTCATGTCACTTACACGCATTATCGAGTGTTCATATCGCGCCAAACAATCTCTGTGTCTTTCCTCACTCAGCCCTCACACTGATGCTGTACCCCAGCAAACACGGACCTAAAGGCTCACAGGTGCTCAGCAACCTGTCCAGTGTCAGTCACTGCTCAGCGGCAAAGTCAGGCTTCGACACCTGAAGTCTGGCACACCGCATTCCCTCCGTAAGGGGGAGGATGTGCCCGTACCTTGAGCCCAGTGGATCTCGGAAAATAGCTTCCACAACAGCAAACCTGCAATTCATCTTAATTTTTTTCGGTTGTTCTGTGGTGTCACTGGCGATTTACCCCATCATTTTGGAATTACTGGCTGAAAGGATGGTCTAGCTCACTATTCTGGCTGCAGTTTCCATTCTTTACGGGAAACCAGCCATTGGCGGCACCAGGCACCCGTCTTGACACTTTAATTACCCCACGGCTCTCCTCTCTTGCCCTGTCCCCTGTTGGTCTGGAGGCTCCTCCCTGTCTCACTGGGTCTTGAAAAACAGGTTTGCTTTGGGCAGAGGGAAAGAGACTTACCTGTGATGGAAGTTCTGAGGTATAAAAGGGACAGAGGGCCCCTGAGTTGCGCAAATTCTGTGTCTTCTTGGTGGCTAGTGCCTTGGTCATCTTGGAAATCCTTCAGGCTTAGCCTGTGCCCACAAGGGGAGAGTTTTTCCAGATTCTTCTACCTCAGTAGCCACTGGTGTGAGAAGTTCCAGCAATGTCACCCCGACTCCCAAGTGCCGAGTACAGATTCCAGACAGGTTTCTGACCCAGAAGTGATGGAAAACAAGACATCTAAGTTTCCCACCAACGGGGTGAGACAGTCCAGATGGACTGGATAAGGGAAGCCTGAAATTATTCACTTTTTAGAAAGTTACAGACTTCCATGAGCTGTCTCTCTCTTTGAAAAGAGGTATCTTTCTCTCTTATAAACAAAAATAAAATATGAGCTAAAAAAAATAAAACTCCACTGATAAAATCCGAGGGGGGCCCAATAGAGGGGCCCCCAGAGCCCGTTTTAACGTGGCTCCAGTTTGTAGATCAGGTCCTCCCTACGAGGAGAGAAAACGGCTGTGAACTGCGAGACTGGGGCGGACTCGGTTGCTTGGCAACGAGACGCAGTAGAGGGCTTTCTCATTGGCTGGGGTTAGTGGGGGCGGGGCTATGAACTCTCGCTAGGATGCTGGCTGGGAGCAAGTGGCTGGTTGGTTAGGGGAGCCACATTCTCCAAACTATGGTTTCTGCTCTTAGGCCTGAGGACTTCGACCCATTCTGTCTGTCTAACTAAAAGTGACGGGTTCCTTTCCAACTCTGTTCTGCTCTGCCACGAACTCACTGCCTTAACCTGAGGTGCCCATTTCTCTTTTTTCCACTGATGAACTCCTACCCACCCCTCAAAGCCTACACACGCACACGTGTGCGTAAGACATTTACTGAGCGTTTAGAATGTGCTAGCCACTGCTCGGTTTTACCAGTATTAATTCCATCCTCATAAAACGTCTTTAAGGAAGGTATTTCATGACTCTACTTTACAGACCAGGAAACTGAGGCCCGGAGAGAGTGAATCACATACTTAAAGGTCACACACATAGTGCCTGAGCTGGGATTCAAAGCCAGACCTGTTTGATTTCTAAAACCCCAAGCTCTTAACCACCTGGATGCATGACTCTGAACAAGATGACTAATTTCTCAGAGCCTCGGCTTCCATAGCTTTAAAATGGGGAAAACAGCTTTACCCCAGGCCATTGAGGATTCAGACAGACCACATGTGTACAGGCGGAATACACGAGGAGTCCTAATTAAGTGGCGACTATCATGATCTCCTGACAGCCCAGCCCCAGGAAGAATTAGTCATTTTTACAGTGCGGTGTTTATTTCACAGCGGATATTAGTACACATATTTATTGATCACTCGCTCTGTGCCTGGTGCTTGCCGAAGCACTTTACACACATTAATGAATTTAATCCTTCCAATAACCCTGTGGGGGTAGATTGCCAGCTTGAGGAAGATTTATTACACGTGCTCTGATTTGCATGCTTTATCCTTGGTGTTATTTTATGCCGGATCAATCTGATTCCTGTTTTATCTCTAAACCTTGAACTGCTGAGGGTTATGATGTCATCATGGCCGCACAGTAAGCTCACCTTCTCTTTAGAAGGCCCCCAGGGCAAGATGACCCTCTGCAGAATACAAAATGCCTACCCACACAGCTCCAGACGCTGAGGCTTGGAAGTCACTATTTTCTTGCCTTTGTCTGAAGAGTCAACCTTTCCTTTCACAGGAAGTTTTGCTCCTTCCTGCTTCCTTTGTGGGCAGCATTAGCAATCAGCAAGTGCTTTTAGAGGGATGCAGATGCACATTGAATTGTGTTCAGAAGATGGGGTTGGGGGAAGAAGGGATAAGAGAACAAGACAGAAGGGGACATGTTTACCCCTGAGCAGACCAGAGAACTGCATTTACAAGGCTCTGAGGGACGGGCTTGGGGGAGAAGGACTCTACCAGTTGTAGGTGAGCCGGAAGCACAGGCAGAGGGAGCTCTGGAGTCAGACAGACTTGGCCACTGAGCAGCCTCAGCGGTCATCCCCGAGGACTGTCATGAAAACCAAATGGATAATCCATGAGAAGCACAATAACTAGCAAAAGGGAAGTGCTCAATATATGTTGACTCATTTCTTTTATGCCCACCTGTCAGAGACACGCAAGAACTGGAAGTAGAAAGAGCTCTGGGATCAAGAAGACCTGCATACGAATCCTGCATCTACCATTTCCCAGTAATGAGACCTCGGTTGAGTCACTTCACCTCTCCGAGCCTCAATTTCATCATGTGCATAAACAGTGATGGTAATGCCCACCTTATGCAGTTGGGGGGAGGACTGGTGAGATGATGAATGTGCAGAGCACAGTACCCAGATTTAAAGTATCCCTACCCTCTCCTGTGAATTTTCTGCGACATCATAGCGTACCGTGGTGCACAGTTTGGGGACCATGGAGCTATAAGGATATTTTCTGTCTTTGAGCTGAGCAGCCTGGACAAACCCGCAGGAGCAGGCAGAAAGCAAAGACTAATGGGAGCATGTGGATGGATTTCTCAGCCCCTCACCCCTTGGGGAGGGCAATTCCGGAGCACGTTCTGTGGCCCTACTCCGGGACCTACTCCGAGGCAATGCTGTTGCCTGCTCGTCAGTGGCGCAGCACTGGCTTCTTCCCACTGCATCCCCACGTCCCTTCTGGTACTGCCTGGATGGCATCCCAAATAAACCACTTAAATCCAGAATCTGGTTCCTTGTTCCTGCTTCTGGGGAGCCCACGCTAGGTCAGTGTCGACTGCAGTAACTGGGAGGTCAGATGGGAGGCAGGCTGTAAGGTTTCCCCTTCCATCACCTGCTTACGTGACCTTGCTGCCTCCCTTCCTTGACTGCCTGGCCCATCACTGCCACCTTCCCATCGCTGTCTCCGATATCTGAAGGAGTTTCTCAGTATTCTCCGCATCCTGCAAACCTTGAAAGGGCAACGTGTTTTCAGACATGCAAACACTCCCCCAGTGGTGAAATATTTGACAACTGAGATGGGAAGCGATTGTTTCATTCTTAATTCCCAGTTGGTTTATGCAAAATATAGGCTGAAAGACAGGAAGTGACAGGCATTCTGTCCTCTCAGTTTGCCAAAAGGAAAGGCATCCTAACGCATTAGAAATATATGTACCAGGGAGAAGAAAATTTTTGGAATGTGTCGGACACCAGCTGGGGTAGCTAAGTGAAATCTCAAAATCTGCTCAACACACGAGTTTTTAGTCAATAATACATATGTTTGGCATTAAAAACCTATTGGAAAAGTCATTATTTTTAAAAATATCTTTAAAAATACTTTTCTGTGTTGCATCTAGCACCCAGAGAATGCCTTCTGGGTATTTTTTCCTCAAATGTCAGCATCAGATTTACTAATTATGGAGCCCAGGGCGGCCTATCAATGAATTAATGCCCGGATGAATAACACTGGGAAGCGTGTGGTTGCCCCACCTCCACAGACGTTTCCATACCTCCTCCAGTGGAACGGTGGCTCCTGGCTCCCCTGCCTCTTGGGGGCTCCGTGGTTCCATATCACATTCCCACCCCATCCTCCAAACCACACCCCAAGAAGGGGAGGAGAATTTGGATCTTTGTAAACACAAAGAAGACAATGTTAATTCACACTCCTACTCCTCCTCTTCCTCTCTTGACTTTGGTACGGGAAGGACCGGGGCTTCCAGGAACATTCCGAGTGAGTTTCCCCCACTGGAAGCCTAGGGCGTGGCCCTAGTGGTTTTGATGGAGACTGTTTCCCATTTTCACATGCTTTATCTCCCAGTGTGCCTCAGTGCAGGACAGATTGGAATTGTGGAATCATTAATCTCATTTTTACAAAGGGGGAAACTGCAGCCCTTGGGACTTAGCACTTTGTTAGTGGTGGAGGTTGCCTGAGAACCCAGGTTTTATGATTCCAAAGTGAGTGACTTATTTCATACTGCCCTGATGGTCTTCCACTTAAAGGGATGGACGTGTGTGTGTTCAGTTCAGCAGGATGGCCCAGGGTTATCTCCGCAAACCCCACGAAAGCGATTGGGATTTCTAAGCCACCTGGAAGACTTCCACTTCTCTAGAATTCTGGGAGGAGTTTTTGCTTTAACATCCACGTGGGACATCTCAAAACCCCCATCTCGGGTACAAAGCACTTACCTGCCGTGGATTTGCAAGTAGCTCATCATGTCCTGTTTGGTACCTGCTGTAGCCTGCTTCCCACCTGTATAGGTAGAATCGTATCCTGCAAAAGACATGCTCAAGTCCTAAATCCTGGTGCCTGTGAACGTGACCTTATTTGGGAGCAGAGTCTTTGCAGATGTAACCGAGTTAGGATGAAGTCATGCTGGATTGGGGTGGGGCCTAATCCCATGGCTGCTGTCCTTAAAAGAAGATTGAAAGTTGGCAATAGAGATGGAAGACACACGAAGGGAACGTCACAGGACAACAGAGACCAGGATTGGGGTGATGCATCCACAGGCCAAGGAATGCCAGGGATTGCCAGCCACAACTGGAAACTCGGTGAGAGGCAAGGAAGGACCCTCCCTAGGCTTTTCAGAGAGAGCATGTCCTTGCCTGTGCTGTGAGTTTGGACTTGTAGCTCCAGAGCCATCAGGAGATAAATTTGCTGTTTTCATCTCCCCGCTTGGTGGTAATTTGTTACAGCATGCCCCAGGAAACAAATACACCATCCACCTTGCTCCAGCTTCGTTTCCTTCTCTGTCCTGCCTGGGATAATAGGGGAAGACCACAGCACACCTCTGCCGAGTCGGCGGCTGAAAATTAAACATCAGGCATCAGTGAATTTTCAATTAAATAAAGTTCCCAGGTGAATCTAACACACAGGTAGGAACCCCTGCCACACATCCTGTTCGGAAGCTCCTTGTCCACGTAACAAGGTATGAACATCCTCCATTTGTATAGGTGCGTGTTTTTAAACATGATGTTTAAGTGAGCGCTCCCTGAAATGGGGTCCCAACGTTACAGCTGTCTGGCAGTTAGTCCAAACAATTCCTTAGTTTTAAGCAGGAGCCAGCCTGTTCTAATCTTGGATTCGTAACCAGCTCATT